GCAGCAGGGCCCTGAGTCATTCCATTGACAAAGAAGTGAAGAGTCCCGTCCTCCCGCCGCACTACGCCCACCGTGTCCCCTGCCTTGGAAGAAGGGGGGCTGGAGTGAGGAGTCAGGCAGAGTTCCTGCCTGGGATGGTCCTGCATTCACCCCTCCTTGCCAGCTCCCTGACTGTTGCACCCAGGCACTGCACCCTCTCTCCCACCTTGAGGCGGTCCAGGTTGTGCCCATATTCATCCAAGATGGTTGTTCCATTGTGCATCACACCATTCCCAGTCATCATCCAGGTTCCTAAGGGAAAGGGAGAAACAGATGAAATGAGAGGGAAAGTAGGGCTGCTCTTTATATAAAAAAAAACTACCCCAAGCTGACAGCCCACCCTATCTTTCCTGAGATTTAGGTTTCTTCTCGGTAAGACAAGAAAATTACAATTTCCAAGGCAGCCACATGGCCTCCCTCATGGCCTCCTTAGCCCCTGGACAAATCATCACAAGTGTAACAAGGAAAGGGGTTCAGAACAAGGCCCAGGGCTGGCCGTGGTGGCACACTCAGGAGGCTGAGGCAGGAGGATCGCTGTGAGTTCAAGACCAGCCTGGGGTACATAGTGAGTTCCAGGTCAGTCTCAACTACAAAGTGAGACCCTGTCTCCAAAAACAAAACAAAGCCAAAAACAAAAAAAGAAACAGAACAAGGACCAAGACCAGAGGGATACCTTCTGCTCTAGGACCCTATATCAGCCCTGCCCTTGGGAGCTCACCAGAGCGCAAGTTGGTCATGGTGGAGGGCAACTGGAGATAGGCAGGGTTGTGGGTAGTGACACCAATCTCGATGGAGCCAGCCCATTTGTCCACCATCTTGTCAATGCGCACCTGGAATACTTCTCCATCCCGCAGTGCTCTGCTGCTCAGCACCACACCATGATTGAAGTCATCAGTGGCACTGAGGGCACAGCAAGTGGGGATTCAGATACCCCAACACACACTCTTGAGTATACCAAGGTTTAGCCTAGCAACACCTGCCTGTCACCCACTGCCCCAAGCCAACCAACCAGACCACACACTTCAGGAAGTTCCTGACCTTTGTGTCCAAGACTCCCCAGAACAGAATCCCTCTGCCTCCCATCCCCACCTTGCCCCTTCAATCCCATTAGAGTCCCATGGGCCATACTGGGGCCTCAAGGCAGTGCGTCCCTCGTGGGTGATGGCTGCCTTCTGCCCACAGTTGGGGTGAAAGAGAAGGCGCTCAGGTTCTGCTTGGGCAGCAGGAGCAGCACGGCGAAGAGCACCCTCAGGTGACAGTGCCCGAAGAATGGCGTTGTTCCGGCGAAGACGGTCACTATGGTTGTTATTGTGTACAATGGTCACCTTCACAGCCATCCCGTACAAATCCACCACACCATACACCACTGGGGGTGTCAATGGGGTAGCCACACCTATCGGGGAGGAAAATGAGGGGCAAATAGTAAAAAAAAAAGACAAGCATCAGAGAGGCTGGAGGATAAAGTCCTGATACCACTGAGAGACCTGGACCAATGGCCTTCTCTGAGTATCTCCTTACCTTGATCGATTCCATTAATGAAAAAGTGCAGGGCAGAATTGGACTTCCTTGTGAGACCAATATGGTCACCTTCCTAATGAGAACAGAAAAGTAGTTCAGTATGAAATCTAGCTAACAGTCTCCAAAGCAGTCCCAGGGCCTTCTCACTATCCCATTTGACAAGGGACCCACTCCCAAATGTATTCATGCAAGACTGAGACTAACCCAAATGATGGGCAGAGCATATCCTGGGTCGCTGTTTTCTAGACAGGGCAATTTCCACATTTCCTGAATGCTCAATGTAAGGCACAAGATTAGACTATTTTATAAGCATCAACTTCCTTAAATCTATATAATTGCTACAAGGATTGGGGATACATTGTGGCAGTAGAATGCTTGTGTAGCATATGTGAAGCCATAGGTTCAAACTCCAGCACTGGGGGAAAAATAATAAAAGCACTACTAACAGACTCATATTAGAGCCTGTTGAGGAACTCTTGCCTTCTCAGAAAGAACCTCACAGAAAGACAGAGGATCTTGTGTTAGATAAGAGAAGACTACCTCATGGCACCCAGGCAGTACCCAGGGCTCCTCTGGAATTGCCCCAACCTCACCTGTAGCTCATCCAGACTGAATTCACAATACTCCCGGCGGGTGCCCTTGCCATTGGTCAGGATCCCACAGCCGCTCATCATGATGGTGCCTGCGCAAAGGTGGACACCTGCTTAGGATATGGACTTCCTTCCCTTCCAACCCCAGGTTTGTGTCACCACCCCTGCCCAGGGCTGGTACCTGACTGGAGGTTGGTCATGGTGGCTGGGTACTCCAGGTTGTTGGGGTTGTGAGTAGTGACACCAATCTCAATGGAGCCTGACCACTTATCTACAAGCTTATCAATACGGATCTGGGGTTGAATGACAGCAAGTACATGGAATAGGGAATTTAAGTGCAGAGAAGGGATCCTCAATCCTTCTTCCCCAGGCCCCACCCTCCTGACATCCATCAAGGATTAAGCCCCATCTTTAGCTTCCAGAAGGTGAGCCAGCCAGACCTCAGGGTCTTGCATACCTCAAACATCTCATTATCCCGAAGTGGGCGGTTGGTCATGACAACCCCATTGTTGAATTCATCCAGAGGCCTCCGGCGCTCAGCTGTCTTATTATTGTTGCTGAGTTTGATAAGGGTCCCACACTTCTCGTGAAAGAGCAGGGCATCATTGGAAGTGAGGATGGGTGAAGTGGCAGTACCGCTAGATCCCAGCCCATCCCCTGGTGGTGGGGAGCTCAGGTTCACATTCAAGAGGCCCCCGTTGTAGGCAGACAGGATGGCATTGCTCACCACCTCAGAGAGCTCCATGCTGGCAAAGTCTACAGTAGTAGGACAAAGAAAGGAAACTAAGATAAGGCTCTACATCTTCTGGCTTAACACCTTCTCCCTCTACCCCTTTCCTGCCCAGACCCCTTCCCAGAGCCTCCCCAAAGCCCTCACCATTATGTGACTCAAGGCTGTTAGGAAATGTCTCCAGCCAGCCCTGCACAGGGCACACCATCAAGGCTGGGCACCAGGTGGGGTGGAAGGAGAATAAGGGTTCAGCCCCTGTTTCAGAGCCCACAGCCAAGAGACCTTTTCCGTTAGCCCCTGTTCTCACTGGCAACAGACTCAGGAGTCTGAATGGCCCTGGCAGCCCAGCCCAGATCTTCGCTACATTTACCCTGTTTCTTCAGCTACATTCCCTGCCCCATCCCTCCACCAAGGCCCTAGTTGTCTCCTCACCTTCATCCCCAGAAGTTCCCTGGTCAGCCAAGGAAGAATCTTCAGGGGGTGCTGAGGGCTCAAGGGGCGTTGTGGGGATAGTAGTAGGGAGACTGAAGCCTGGCTCAGGGGGGAGCACGGTGATCTGGGTGCACTTGCCATAAAGGTCCACGACAGCCCAGACACGAGCAGGCAGGCCTGTGGCAGCCACACCACAATCCCGCCCATTCACCCAGAGCCGCAGCTCCCCAGCAGCTGTTCTCTCCACACCCACTCGGTCTCCTTCGCCAAGCTGGTCCAGGTCCTGTCCATACTCCTCCAGCACAGAGCGCCCATCCTTCAGCACTGAACAACCTGATACTACCCATGAGCCCCCTTTTAGCCCTGTGGCACTGCTTGGGAAGTCCAGCACACTAGGATCCAACGCGGTCACCCCAATCTCAATGGAGCCACTCCAGGAGTTGACCTATGTTGGGGATGGTGGACAGAAAGACTCAGGATGGGTCACCACTGGGGGTCTCCCACTACTAGGAAACTACATTCCATATGCCCAAGAGTCACTCTCCTCCTAAATTCCTTCTCTGTGAGCCAAAGAAATCACATGTATTCTTCTCTTTCCCTAAGTATTTCAGCTCATCCGTCATTCTGGCTCTACCTCAGTTTGTCCTTCAATGGTTTATTCTTTCCTCCGTATCTCTCCCCTTTTCCTAACATATCTAACATCACCTCCATCTCCAAGATATTGTGTCAGGAGGCTCATTCAATAGCTATTCTACCGGACGGACCCCCGTGTCCCCTTCCTGCATCTGGATCTTTCAGAAACTCGGGCCCTGTCTCCTCCTTCGAATTGAACATTTCTGAATTATTTTCTTCTTGCCCATGCCCTTGTACCCTATGGCCTGTCGCTTCCCTTTCTGAACCCAGTGACGTGAGATTTCTAGCTGCCCTACCGCATTTACTTCTGGTTCCCTCCCACTACCCTCCACATCCCCATTTCAATTCCGCGGGCCCAGCTCTGCACCTTGCGGTCGATGCGGACAGTGAAGACGCGTCCATCGCTCAAGGGTTCCCGGCTCAACACCAGCCCGTGGTTAAACTCCTGGCCTGGCTGCTGCCTTCGCGCTATACGCCCGCAGGCCGACAGGCTCACCAAACGCCCAGTGCGCGGGTGCAGCTCCCCAACGCTGCCGAGACTCCCGCTGGACCCCGGTCCTGGGACGCTGCCGCCAGGACCCCCACCCCCACCCGGTCCT